GATCGTGTTCTATTCTCAATATTTCCATTGGATTTCAATGTTTTCTTTCTTTCAGGTGCTAGAGATCAAACCCAGGGCGTTGGGCATGCAAGACAAGCGCTCTACCAATAAACTACACCTGCAGACTTCATCCTGTTTCAAACGATTACTCAGAAAGGTGTTCTTAATCTCTTGTGGATTAGAGATGGTAGGAAGACAATCCGAAGTAGTTAAGGCCTAGGTTTACCTCTGGAGCATGGCTTGGGATAAAGTATTTGTCTCCATAGCACGTTGCCCCCTGCCTACTTCCCAGCACCAACTCAGATCATGGGGTGGATGATCTGGAAACTCAAAAGTGCTTCACGGGCAGGTGAGGCGGCCCACGCCTGTAATCCCAGCAGTCAGGAGGCTGAAGCAGGAAAATCGCAGTGAGTTCCAGGTCAGCCTCAACTACACAGTGAGACTTTGCCTCAAAAGGATCCCCCTCCCCGCAAAAAACACAAAGTTTCATATATTTACGACATCATCATTGTCCTACTTTCTGCTTACTCAAAGGAAGCACTATGAACCTCACCAACCAAGAACAGGGAGGACCTCAAGGTATCTGTGGTTCATGCTGTTTACTCCTCCTTTACTTGGCCAAACATGTTGCAATTTTCAGTTGTTTGCTTTTCTGCTTTCCCAGTCTCCTCTTGCTTTGTTCATTCTGGTTGTTACCAGTCTAAAAGCACCTCTTTCCAACTCTTCATCTGCTGTTAATCATATGCTGTGGATTTAGAGATTACCAGAAATGGGTACAGACTAAGAGAAAATAAAACCTTCCTCTTCCTCATGAGCCAGGCAAATGAACATCATTACATTAGATACCGCTGTGCCACCAGCCTCTTCCCCCTTATCTCTCACTGGTGTGTTTTGAATTTGTGCTTTCAGAAAATATTTACTGAGCACAGCAAAGCATAATCTCTGTCCCGTTCCAGGCCACAGTCGGGTGAGAAGGCAGTCACAGATCACCGCACAGCCAGTGATCATCACACGGGGCAGGAGTGGGGGTCCAGAGCACTGCATAGCCATGGGGCTAACAGAGGGCAGGTGGCTTCCAAGACAGGGTGTGCAGAGGAAATGCCCGGGAAAAGGATGTGTGGGAAGTGAGTTCTAGGCAGAGGGACAAGAAGCGGGAAGGTCTACAGAACACAGGCACAAGTGCCAGGATACAGGGGAGAGACCACCACAGCAAGTGCTGCAAGACGAGAGCTGGGTGTGGTAGCACAGGTCTGTGATCCCAGCACTCAGGAGGCTGAGGCAGGAGAATCGCCGTGAGCTCTGGGCCAGCCTGGGCTACACAGTGAGACCCTGTCTCCAAAACAAACAAACACACAAAGACAAAATGTAAGAGAAAACCAACAAGGTTGGAGCAGAACACAAGAAGTGAAAGAAGACAGATGAAGTAGGAGAGGTGAGTAGGCGGTGAGGTGAGCAGAATTCTGGGCTCAGAGATAATTACTGTATTTGCATCTTCTTGTAGTTTTGTTGCCTACTTACTTATGTGGATTGAACCCAAGGCCTTTGTACTTAGCTACATTCCCATCCCATTTCTTTTTTCTTTTTTTAGTACCGGGGCTCGAACTCAGGCCCTCGTGCTTGTGAGACAGGCGGCGGAACCACTGAGCTAAATCCCCGGCCCTTTCTCACCCTATCCCATTTCTAATTTTTATTTTAAGACGGGGTCTTACTAAGTTGCCCGATCTAGGCTTGAACTTGAGATCCTCTTGCCTCAGCCTTCCAGAGTGCTAGGATTACAGGCAGGTGTGCAACCACCACACCTGGACACCCTTGTTGTTGTTTTCCGAGTAGACTGGACATTTCTCTGTCGCTCCCTCATCTCCATTTCTCTTTTGCAGTACTGAGGATCAAACCCAGCGCCCTATTGTTAGGCGAACACTCTACGACTGAGCTATATCACAATCCCTGTGCATTTCTTACAAAAAGGACTTTTCTTTTGCTATGATTTTGCTCTTGGCATCAAATATTATCCGATGCGAGTGATTAATGTATCCACAGAGCAAACAGAAGTAGAATGCAGCCATGTTGGGCTGTTCAACCTATTCACTCATCAGAAAAAAACCACATTTTTTTGTTTTGCTACTGGGGATCAAACTCAGGTCTTTGCGCTTGTAAGGCAGGCGGTGGAAACATTGAGCTAAATCCCCAGTCCAAAACCACATTCTTGAGCAACACAAAAGGTCCTCATGCTGTCATTTTCTAGGTCTGCAGCTTTGGGACAAGGTACTTAACCTGTTTAAACCTCCATTTTGTCATCATCGAAAAGGGTAGGGTGACGTTTAATTTATGAAGCATTATGAAGATTAAACAAGATATTTAAAGCAGGTGTGGTGGTACACATCTGTAGTCTCAGCACTGGGGAGGCTGAGGCAGGAGGATTACCTGGAGTTCAAGGCCAGTCTAAACTACCTAGCAAGACGTTGTGCAAAAATAAATACATAAAAAATAGAAATAAATTTTAAATTTTGGTATCAGGAATTGAACTCAGGGCCTTGTGCTTGTCAGACAGGAGCTCTGCTGCTAAGCCACATCCCTGGCCCCTAAAAATAAATTTTAAAAAATTAAAAAATGAGCTATTTACACATCTACACAGCACACCCCACAATGCCGGGCCCTTCTCACCTCACTTTCCTCCCCAGAACTCTTAGCTCATTCTTCTCCATCGGCCCCACACCTTACTCCACGGCTGTCCTCTGCATCTTAAGCCTCCCTCTCCACTGGCTCCATTCTTAGCCTACCAATCTACTCCACTAAAGCTAGAAAGAGGCCCTCACTCAGCCCGGCTCTCCATTCCGTCAACATTCCCAGTCCAGGTTGATCCCAGAGCTAAGGTCAGCTCTGGGTCCCAGGAGTGAGGGAGAGAGGTGGAAGTAAAGAGGAAGACCAACCACTGTTTTCAAGGAGCACCTCGGGGCTCGCTTCCCTGCATAACCAGGCGACTTCCCAATCTCTCCCCTTCTCTTTCCTAGAGGATCACATCCCTTGGAGAGCTCAGCACAGGCATGCCGGAGGCCTGAATCCCCAGCATCAAACTAAAGATTCAGGAGCTGGGGATTTAGCTCAGTGGTTCCGCTGCGTAAGGTCTGGAATTCGATCCCCGGTACCTAAAGATCCAACCGTCGCACCGTGCCAAGGCCAGCCACACCATCCTGTCTCTTACCAATGCCCTTCCCCAACTGTACATTTGCGGAAGCATCTCTTACATTCCCACGGAGCTCATTGTTTGACTTCCCTGATCAAAAATTGTAGTGTCTCCTCACCACCTACAGGAAAGCCCTGAACCTTCAGTTTATTTTTGTTTGTTTTGATTTTTATTTTTTAGGCAGTCTCACCACACGGTGCACACTGGCCTTGAACTCGCAGTCCCCAGCCTCAGCATCCAGAGCGCTAAGATTACGGGCAGCAGCCGCCGCGCCTGGAGCAAGGCCTGAACTCCTGAGTAAATTCTTTAAAGTCAGCCACTACCTAAGCTTCTTCACCACGTATCTCTCCACAAATGTATACTCCAGGTATGCAGAACAGAGCACTACTTCCCGAAGGTGTCTCCTACTGTGTTTCTTCACCGTACATCTTATGCGGTCCCAGTCATCTGGGAATCACTTCTTTCCCATCTCTGGCTTTTAAACAGTTTCAATTTCCGGCCATGGCGTCACACGCCTGTAAATCCCAGCACTCAGGAGGCTGAAGCAGGATCACGGCGAGTTTGAATTTAATCTTTTCTTTTTCTTTTTTGGGGTGTGTGTGTGTGTGTATGTGACAGGCTTGACCACATCGCCCTGGCTGGCCTTGAACTTGCAATCCTCCTGCACTAACCCCACATTTATAAGAAATTGGATCTATGACTCCAAGTCTACCTCTTCTAACCAATCAGGACTAATCTAAACTTCTTTACTCCCACCACTCTTTAAAACTACCGAAGTTGATGGCAGGGCTGAGGGATAGAGCTCAGAGGGAAGAGCACCTGAGTAGCATATATGAGGCCCTGGGTTCAATCCTCAGCACTGAAAAAAAGAAAAAAAGTTACGAGCCAGGGACTGGTGGTAGGAAGCTGAGGCAGAAGAATCACTTTAGTCCAGGAGTTTGAGACAGGCCCTACCTCAAAATCAATAAATACAGTGGCATCATTTTGCTTTGCTCCCCCACCCCACAGTCTCACTATGTAGTTAGGGCTGGCCTTGAACTCTTGGCAATCCTCCTGCCTCAGCCTCCTAAGGGCTGGGATTACAGCCATGTGCTACAATGCCATGCGGTCTCTGCTTTTTTTTTTTTTTTTTCTTTTGGTACCAGGGATCGTCGTACTCGGGTCCTTGCATTTTCAAGACAGGCGGTGGCGCCACTGAGCTAAATTCCCAGCTCTCTCGCTTGTTTTAAGATAGGGTCTTAGTATGTAGTCCCGGCTAGGTTATAAGACTGTAGATGCCAAATATTTTTGTGTCCTTCAAGAACTGCGACGTCTCATTGGCGCGTCCCTGAAGGGTTGTTCCCGTAGTGCTTCAGTGCAGTGCTGACACCTGCCGGCCACAGGCGGGTCGGCAGCCCTGGCCTCAGTATTTCCGCCCCCTGGTACTGCGGGCTGGAATAGCTACTAGTCAGGTACTGCGAGATGCTTGCGTTAATGTTGCCCACAGTGCCACCCTTTCAAGCTTGAGAACTTTCCCCAGACCCCCCCACCCAAGTTAGTTTGGGCTTTACAACCTCCCCAGGACCACAGAAACGTAAGAATGGGGTCTCAAGGAGCCAGGCAGCAAAAAAGGAGCAGTTTTGAGAGCAGGGATGTGCAACCCCTTTTCCCCACCTCGAAGTCAACTGTGTTTCCAACAGAATCCTGTTCCTGTCGACCTTTGTCTTATTCCTAGCTTTCTCTTGGGCCTAGAACCTCCTCGGTGCCGGTGAGGATGACCCGGAGGTTGAGCAGGGTAGGTAGGCGGGCCTAGGGGTGGGGCCGGGCCAAAGGGCCTCTCACCCCGGAGCTTCTCCATTCTGTCAGCTCTCCGGGAATCACAGGCCAACTCCGGCCCCGTCGTGGCAGGTGAGGGACCATCCAGGGACTATCCGTGAGGAGGGTGGCTTCGGGGGGCTGGCGGCAGAAGGGTCTCTAGCTCCTTCAGCTTTGACTTTCCATACTGTCAAGTTCTCACTTGTAGAATGCTTGGGTCCCCAGTAGAGCTCGGTCCTCCCTGGGGCGAGGCAGCCTTTGAAAGAAAGACCTGGCTTGGGCTGGGGTTGGGTGTGGGGCCGAGGGGCAGGGTGGGCACGGGAGGGCGTGTGGCAGATCTCAGAAGTCTTGAGGCATGGAGAGAGATGGCTGAGGACCAGAGGGAGAACAGAAGGTCACAGGGAGCACCCAGGAGAGGGTGGGAGAGAGAGGAGGCAGTGAGGGGCAGTGGGACAAGGCTGAGCTGCCCAGAGCTGACTAACAGAAAGGCGGAGGAGGCAGGAAGGCTCACTGGGGCAGTCGTGTTTTCCTGGCCTCTTCCAGCTGTGGAGCCGATCAGGAGCCCCGGGGCAGGCCAGGAGCAGATGCGGGCTGCAGGCTCCGACTGGAATGCTCTCAGCGAGGAGAAAGCCTCCTGGTGGCTTAGTCTCCCCTGCCTCTTCCACTCCCAGTTTCGTGTGGAGAAGAGGGCGAGGCTGCTCCTCACTGCGGTCACAGCCACATCCTGCAGAGCAGGGGAGGGGGAAGTAAGAAGCAAAAACAACTAGAAGAACCGCAGGAGAGGGCCGTGGGGTGGGAAGCTGGACCTCTGCAGCAGAAGCCCCCGCAGGCTCCGGGGCGCAGCCAGCCCAGAGCCCGCACACCTGCAGGCTGCTGCCCTGCAGCCTCACAGACGGCGGTCCAGTGAAAAGGGCTCATGGGATTACTTGGCCTGCGGCTCATTTTTATCATTTACTGGTTACTCCAGCCAATGGGCTTCACTTCTCCTGCTGCAGTTTTCTCACTGTAAAATGGGGATACCTGGGAAGTTTACAAAAACACTTGGCAGCCGGGTGTGGTGGCGCACGCCTGTAATCCCAGCATTCGGGAGGCTGAGGCAGGAGGATCACTGTGAGTTCAAGACCAGCCTGGGCTACATAGTGAGTTCCAGGTCAGCCACAACTACATAGTGAGACCCTGTCCCCACCCCACCCCCAAAAAAGAAAAGAAAAACAACAACGACAACAAACACTTGGCACATAGCGGGATCTCAGCAAATGTGAGTTATTCTTATCGGGACTCCCAGGACCCTGAGTCTGTGCTTCTTTAAGGGCCACAGTTGACATGGGCTGTTGGAGTCAGGAAATCAGTTGTGTTGGATCTCAGGTAAATAATTTAACACAAGCCCCAGCTTATGGAGCGCCATACCTACACCTGCTGGATGGTGCTGTGGGAACAGCCTGTCAGCTAAGCCTGGGAGGCTGCCCTCCCTGGGGCCTCCAGGAGGGTTAGCAGCGCTCCCCTGGGAGCTCCTACAACACTAAGGGAACAGCTCGGGTGAGGCAGCAAGACACAGAGGACCAAGGGGGCCTAGGGGAAACAGGACAAAATAACCACAGAAGCAACAGAAAAGGGAAAAGCCATTTCTCTTTCTAAGGAAGCCTGTGGCCTCTCTTCTAGCGACTGACCACATCCCCGCCCCCGGGCACGGGCACCATGGAGTCCTTCAGCTCGAAGAGCCTGGCACTGCAGGCGGAGAAGAAGCTGCTGAGCAAGATGGCGGGCCGGTCTGTGGCTCACCTCTTCGTCGATGAGACGAGCAGCGAGGTGCTGGACGAGCTCTACCGCGTGTCCAAGGACTACACGCACAGCCGGCCCCAGGCCCAGCGGGTCATCAAGGACCTGGTCAAGGTGGCGGTCAAGGTGGCCGTGCTGCATCGCAATGGCTGCTTCGGCCCCGGGGAGCTGGCCCTGGCCTCCCGATTCCGCCAGAAGCTGCGGCAGGGCGCCATGACTGCGCTGAGCTTTGGGGAGGTGGCCTTCACCTTCGAGGCCGCCGTGCTGGCT